TCAGCGAGCAAGGGTTTTCATAGCTGTGTGGTGCTGAGGTGCAAGTCCTCTTCTTAAAACCTAACTTAGTCCAGAAAGATCTGTCTCAGCTAAACTGATTCTGGAGGTTTTAAAAAACGGAAGTCTGTACTTTTTTTTTTTTGTACCAGAAAGAGAAAAGACAGCTTTAAAAAACGGAAGTCTGTACTTTTTTTTTTTTTTTGTACCAGAAAGGGAAAAGACAGTGAGAAATTAAGAAGACCAGCTTAGTGTTACTGCTGGTATAAATTACCAAAAATCTTTATGGTTTCTAGGTGACACTAAACATGAAAATGACTTCCTACACTTACTGCTATGTGATCCTGGACTGATGAAGCTTGAAACCTATATGCAAAACCAAAGCAGAAAAATCTTGACTTGTTGCTGTGTCTTCCTCTTACGGAGAACATTGGTATTTTGAATGGACAATGGGAGAGATCTGCACAGGTTTAAACCTTTGACTTTGCAAGAATTAATCACATCAGACATAGAAACTGCAGCTGTTGAAAAATACAGTGCATGGACTAACTGGGGTTTTAACTCCACCGTATAGATGAGCCAACATTTCTTATTTAAACAGGGAAAAAGGGATTAATTGGTTTTAAGACTTGATAGCATATGAGCAACATTATACCATTCAGCATATTCCAGGCAAGAAATGTCACCCCATCTGTTAGCATTACCGTTGAAGAAAGACATGCTTGTTTGAAAAACCTACGGGCATTGGAAAATTTTCACAGTAAATAGTCAATTGTCCTTGTTTCAAAATGTTCGAACCATGCTGCCATTCTATTTTAAGTTTTGCTTGCTTCACATTCCAATCATTTTGCCTGGTTAAGCCTGTATTTGCTGGTTAGACCTTGTGGGAGTCTTAACTCTCTTCTGATAAACATTGGTAGATTTTGTCAGTCTGAAATTCAGGAATTTATTCCTCTTTTGAGAAGTGCTGAAGCATATGTTTAACTTAAGATTTAATTTGAAATCTGTAGAAATTGAGCATGTTTCTGTATTAATAACGTAATTTGAAGTATTTCCTTGCTCAGGATGTTTTCACATTGTGCGTTTTCTAGACCCTGAGAGTGTTTTTCAGAGCTCCTGCTGGATCTATCTTAACATCCATAGGAAAATCCGTGCTGATTAACAGGGCTAGCTACCCTTTCCAGAGCCCATCTCTCCTTCCAACCAGTGCACTACCAGTCTGTTGCAAATTACTGGACCGTCACAGATGCTAACGCACTGCAGGCATCTCCAAAATGCCCCCGCTTACCCTCTACCCACAGCGGCCCACTCCAAGAACTCTTTCTGATCCCACTTTTGCAGAGAACATCCTCATCCCAGCCTTGTCCAGCCACCCATGTGCTGTTAGCAGTCCTCTGGTGAGGGGATCAGAGAGCCCAGTGAAGTCCAGGCAATCCAGCTGCTTGCATCCAATGGCTGTGCAATTTGGTTTTCCTTCTAATGACCGGATCATTTCCCTGAGCTTCACGTGACAGGTGATCCTGTGTCATGTATTCGGCAGTCATCACGTATTCCTCACCTGGCTGACTTCATGCCGGCTGCAGCCCTTATCGTGCCAGGCACACAGCTCATACTGCATTTCTGCCTGCCTTATTTGGACTTTTCCATCTGCTCGTTCGCACTGTGCAGTAGTTTTTCCAGGGCTGCTGTATGTCAGACCGCAGGTATCCTGCCCTCAGCTGCCTGCTTCAGTCTCCCCTTCAAGAGCCCCGTCACTCTCTCTAAGTTGTAGGCAACAAAACCACACTTACAAATTATAGTTCCTTTTCCAAAACTCTGTGTGCCCACACTTAACTATCAGTTTCATCACCATTAGATTGCATTTTGATAGCTGGGCTTCCTGTTTTTCAAGCCCCAAAGAGCACTGCCTTAGCCTTTTATAGTAGTATTTGCCTTCTATCTTCATGGCTTGGCTTATTTTGTAAACTGGATGCAGTTTTTCTGGTAGTGGTCACATCAGCCCTGCAGACACGGGTGAAATTCTATTTTCACTGCTGTTCTAGTCAAGAAATATATACCCTTTTGTCTTCAACATACTGCTACTTAGTTCTATTAATCTCCCACATCATTTTCAAAATCATTGACTTTAAGGCTGCAAGTAGCCTTATGTTTGAGTATACTCTTTGCTTCTAGATATATGACCTTGCTTTTGGCTGCATTAAGTCTATTAAATGTGGCTAACCAAAGTTTAGTGAAGTGTAATAAAGACCGGAACACGTCAGCTCTCTTATTGCTTGGATCTTCCACGTAATTAATAGTTGCTTCTTGCCTGAAATCTTTTAGGTAGAATTACAATTTCACATGGAAGTAGTTTGCTCCTTGCTGACTGTTTGGCTTGCTGAAGGTACCATGTCTAATCAGTTTAATTTGTTTAATATAATGAGAAGATTTTAAGGCCAAATAGAAGTAACTTTGAGGATATTAAAAAGCCAAAACAATTTACTGGTATTATATTGATGGCAACTGGCACCATTTTTTTCTGCCTCATCAATTCCAGAACTTGACTAAATAACCCGAAAAATTCTTTTGCATATAAAAGAAAGTTCTTAGCCTTGAGAACACTTGGAATGTATATCTTATAAATATGAAGAAGGACTGTTTGCACAATCTAGTATCAGTTCTGAATTTAATGCAAATGCAGATCAAAAGCAAGCAACACTGAAAGTGCTGCGAACTTCCACTACAAATATTTTGGTCCAAAAATTAACTACTACTTCAAAGCATAAATTTATCATGAAAATGCATCTGCAATTACAAGAATCTCAGTATCTCATACCCTGACCACAAGTAATGATAATTAGGAAGGCAATGCCTTTTCAAGTACAAGAGAGGAAATAAATGCTATACAACTTAAGTGTAACTGAAAAGTAAAAAAAAAAAAAAAAAAAATGGCTAAGATGCAGAGAAAGGAGATTACAATGACCAGAGAGCAGAATGAAGTGAAATTCTATAGGTTCATTACCCAGTTTTCAAATTTTCGTCAGCAATAACTTGATTATGGTACGTAAGTGTCCTTGCATGTAGTACCTGTTGGGGCAAGGCATCTTTAACAAACTGAGCAGCAGCAGATACCAGCAGCTGGCAAGTAAGGCCAGAGGAAATACAAACCAAACATAAGGGATACCTCCCTCTTCAAGGAAGGTGGGTTGGCAGCTGGACCAAACTACTGAGGGAGCTGAGGCATCCTCGTCCTTCCTATATGGAAGGTAAGACACTAAACACAAGCAACAGATCTGGAGGCAGCAGTAACTGGATAAAATTCAATGGGCTACAGAAAAAAAGTAAATATTTGTTTCCTACCAACAGGTTAGAGCCCCCACATTGCAAGAGACAATTAAGACTATGTGCAAAGAGGTTAGTTAAGAAAACTTTAGGAAGTACTGGGAATGATTTTGGGTGGCTTAAATGAGTCTGGTCTATAATAGTAGAAATTCTGCCCTTTTCACTTCCGTTCAGGTGACTCTGACCCTCCTCTGTGAACCTCCTGATGCACAAATGTATTGATGTAAGTATTTAGATTGCTACATGTTCTATATTTTTATAAAAACAGTTGAGGACATTTTTTTACATCAGATAAGGAGTCATCAGCATGAAATATTTTACTGTCCTTTCTGGTTTTAAAGTCTATGTCTACAACTGAAATATTTCAGAGGATGAACAGTCACAGTAAATGCCAATGTCATGCAACAAAAACATTACTTGAGAGAAAAAATACTGGTAAAGGTTTTTCTTCAAAAATACACCTAACCACATACCTAGTTTGGAGGGTACAAGTTTTAAACTTCACAGAAAAGTTTTTTCTTGTTTTTTTTTTTCTTCTCATCAAAACCAAACAAACCATTACCGTGATTTTTTTTGATGTTCAAAAAAAGGCCCATTAAGTAGAAAAGTGACAGATAGTCTTTGAAAAGAAAAGAATCACTTGCCCTAATAAGGAATTTCTAGAATATCCTGTAATTTTACATTCCTAAATACATGCCACATGACATGGAGGAAAAGTGAACTTGTACCAGAAGTCCTGGTTCAGGACATCAGGTAAGAAAAGCAAGACCGTGGGTCTGCCACGGCAAGTGGGATGTGTCTGAAGAAGCAGCGTTGCGCCTGGGGCAGACTTCTCCGCCTGAGCTACTCACGCCAGCCTGACGTTAAAGCCATCAGAGAGGAGCAGACACTTGCAGGACATGAGTTGCAGAGATGCCATACTGCAAGCGTCTAAGGCCGAGCGAGACACGGTCCGTTCCACGAGATTATGGGTGTTTCACTGAATCCCTCTGTGCTGCATTTTCCCCCAGTTTAAAAGAAGACTGATGCCTGCTTTCTTCTCCCTTACGTCTCTTGAGCCTGTAGGCACACCTGCTAAAAGAACTGTTGCTGGCGGCGTATCTGCGCGGCACAGTATGGAAAGGCACCCCGCACCTCAGACAAGACTTTCAAGAGAAATACAGAAGAACTGCATCAAGTAGAACAACGTTTATAAAACAGAAACAAAATACATACTGGAATGCTCTTAACTTCCACCAAAGTCAGCTCAAACCATTACATGCAGCAGGAGGGAGACCTAGAAAAGACTGCATTATGTCAAGATACATGAAACAGCCCAGCAAAATGTCATATTGTTGCTTTTTATTTGCTAAAAAGAACTGCTTTCAAACGCTAATAATTTGTTTTGGTAAGAATTAGAATGTGAAAATCATAACAGCATCCTCTGTAAAAATATATCTATATTTTAAAAGTAGAGAATCTCATAGCCATCATATTTTACCTGAGGGGTTTATGATGGGAGTTGAAAGCACGTATATCATGTCTGGAAACTGTTATAAATAACATATCATGAATGAGTTGTTCAACTGCGATGGTTCCAAAAACTTCAATACATTAAGATGTGTTTTCTCCAATGAGTCCGTCATTCTCTTTGGCAAAGGAAACAAGATTTTGCATTTTAGAATATTTTAGAAAATTACTGCTCAGTCTTCCATTTCTACATGCAGTCCCCATTGCTCCTTGAATTGCAGGAGGTACATTTGTTGGGCCTCTGATGATTCATCAGATACCTCTTCCTCATACAGTCTGGACAAAATTCCCTCTTTGTCAGGATCATCACATCTGAATACTCCGTCACACACCTGATTTTCAACACTGGACAAGGTAGGAATATACAGTCTTCCAGTGTGAGGATCCCAATCTACTAATATGGTCTGTTCACTGTCTTTCTCTGTGAGGCCCTGTGCTATTTTTTCCAGCCGAGGATAGGATGTCTGCCCAGATTTTTCAGTACCCAAGTCCACCAAGTTGATATGTGTCTCACCCGGCAATTCATCTGCATCAACCATCTTCAAATCAAGTTCCTCTATATTCTGTCCCAAACAAGGGTCGGCTGCCCTCACCTCTAGTTGAGGGCAATACGGCTGTCCTGTTTTCATATTAACCAAGTCCCCCAAAGTAATCTGTGGCTCCCCTAGTAGCCTCCCAGGGGAAGAGGTCTTCTCTTTCAAACTGAGGTCTTCTAGTTTCTGACCAGGACTGAAGTCTTCAGCCCTTACATCGTGCTCATACTCTACAGTCCCTGCATTTTTCTGTCTCAAAGTATTCTTTGTTCCAGTTTGGCCGAAAGATGGCCAGTTCCCAATTTGGTCGCTTTCCACTTTGTGTGAAATCTCTCCATGTGAAATATCAAGCAAGTGTTTTGTTTCCAGCACTTCTTTTGAAGGCAAATCCTTCTCTTCAGTGCCACTGTAAACAGTACAGTAACAGGGACTTCTCCTTTCTGATAGATGACTGCATTCCTGAGATGGCTTGTACTCATCCATGTTAACAGAGATAAGGTTGACCACTAGTTTTTCACATGGTATGAAAACCCTTTCCTTGCATTTATCAGTGTAGCGCCATACCTGGAAAGCAAAAAAATATTTTTATTTGAGCAAAGTATAATAAAAATACCATCTTGCTGCTTGCATGCAGTATGAGCTGGAGACATTGGTCAGCTCCCAGAACTATGATGTCATTGGTATTAGTGAGACTTGGTGGAATAAAAGTCCCACAACTGGAGTGCTGGGAGAGAGGGCTATGGGCTGTTCAGGAGGGACAGGCAGGGCAGGCGAGGTAGAGGTGTCACACTGTACGTAAGGGAGAAGTTTGATTGTACAGCCCTTACAGTTAGTGATGATGTGGTGGAGAGCCTCTGGGTAAGGATTAGGGGGATGGAAAACAAAGGAAATGTTGTAGTGGGTGTCTACTACCAATTGCCCAGCCAGTATGCAAGCAGTGATGAGTTATTCTATAGGCAATCAGGAGGAATTTCAGGATCAGTAGCCCTTGTCCTCATGGGAGATGTCAACTTCCCAGACATCCACTGGGAATATCACACTGCTGTGATGAGCAGGTCTTGGAATATACTTGAAGTTTGTAGGAGTTAACTTCTTGCTACAGGTACTCAGTGAGCCAACTATGAAAGATGCCCTCCTAGACTTGCTATTTGTGAATAGAGAAGGACTCATGGGGGAGGTGATGGTAGGCGGCTGTCTTGGCCACAGTAACCATGAAATGGTGGAGTTTAAAATTTTCAGCGTAATGAGAAAAAAGGACAGCAGAGTTGCTACCCTGGACTTCAGGAGACCAAACTTTAAGCTGCTCAGGTTGCTATTTAGCAGTGTCCCCTGGGAATCTGCTTTTGGGGGCTTAGCGGGTCCATGAGTGCTGGTCAGCTTTTAAGAACCACCTTTTAAAAGCACAGGGGCAGGCAATGCCACTGTGTCACAAGTCAGGCAAGCGGGGCAGAAGACCAGGAAAAAGAAATTGCATTATCTCTGGAAGCGAGGTCAGCCTTCGCAGGAAGATTACAGTCGTGGTCTGCAGGGAGAAAACATGGAAGGCTGAACTGGAGTTGAAACTGGCCAGTGTTGTTTCAGATAACAAGAAGGGCTTTTTAAAGTACATTAATAGCAAGAGGAGGTCTAAGGAAAACATTGGACTGATACTTGTTGAAGGTGGCCACCTGACTAATAGGGATGAAGAAAAAGTGGAGGCATTCAATGCGTTCTTTGCCTCAGTCCTTAATACTGATAGTCCTCGGGATGCCCAGTCTTCTGAGTCCAAGGAACCCTGAGTGCAGGAACAGTGACCTACCATTTTGTGGACACTGAAATTATAAGGGGCCAGCTGTATCAGCTGAATGCTCACAAGTCCACGGGGCCTGACAGGATTCACTCCAGAGCACTGAAGGAGCTAGCAGATGTTATTGCAGGACCTCTCCCTATCATCCACCAAAGGTCTGGGGAGCTCCCTGCTGACTGGAAGCTTGTCAACACTATTCCAGTGTACAAGAAGGGCGTGAGGAAGACCCAGGGAACTATAGACCCATTAGTCCAGCCTCAGTACCTGGAAAAATTATGGAGAAGATCCTACTGGGTTCTATTGAAAGACATTTAACAAACAATATAATCATCAGGCACAGTCAACAATGGGTTCACAAAGGGAAAGTCCTGTTTAACCAATTTAATATCCTTCTATGATAAGGTCACCTGCCTAGTGGATGAAGGGAAGGTGGGGGATGTAGTTTTTCTGGATTTCAGTAAGGCTTTTGATACTGTCCCTCACAGCATCCTTACAGACAAGCTGTGGGACGAGCGGCTTCACAGTGCACTGGGTGAAGAACCGGCTGAATGGCACATCTCAAAGGGTTGTAGCGAAAGTGGCTTGTCCTGGTTTTGGCTGGGATAGAGTTAATTTTCTTCCTAGTAGCTGGCATAGGGCTGTGTTTTGGATTGAGTACTAGAAGAATGCTGATAACACACTGATGTTTTGGGTGTTGCTGAGTAGTGCTTACACTAAATGAAGGAGTTTTCAGCTTCCCCTGCTTCTGCCAGGGGCACAAGAAGCTGGGAGGGGGCACAGCCAGGACAGCTGACCCCTACTGGCCAAAGGGCGATTCCACACCGTATGACATCATAAACTCGGGGAAGTTGGCCAGGGTGCAGCGATTGCTGCTCAGGACAGGCTGGGTGTTGGTCAGCGGGCAGCAAGCAGTTGCATCACTTGTTTTTCCTGGGTTTTGTCTCTCTCATAGTCCCTTGTCATTTTCCTTTTCATTACAACTTATTACTATTATATTTCAATTACTAAACTGTTTTTATCTCAACCCACAAGTTTTCTTACTTGTGCTCTTCCAAATTCTCTCCCCCATCCCACTGCAGAAGGGAGGGTGAGAGAGTGGCTGGGTGGTGTTTGGTTGGCAGCTGAGGCTAAATCACGACAGGGCTACATCTGGGTGGCAACTGGTCACCAGCAGTGTTCCTCAGGGCTCAATTCTAGGGCTAGTCCTGTTCAGTATATTTACCAGTGATATGGATGCAGGATTTGAATGCACCATTAGCAAGTTTGCTGATGATACCAAACTGGGAGGTGACTCTCTTGAGGGATAAGAGGCTTTGCAGAGTGATCTAGATAGACTGGGCAATGATTATTTAACAAGTCAAAATGCTGGATTCTGCACCTAGGATGGAGTAATGCTGGGCACAAGTATAAACTGGGAGAGGAGTGGCTGGAGAGCAGCCCTGCAGAAAGGGACCTGGGGGTGCTGGTTGGCAGCAGGCTCGCAGTGAGCCCTGGCAGCCCGGAGGGCAAAGCCCCCCCTGGGGGGCCACAAACCGGCCCCACAACTTAAGAAGGATGTGAAGGTCCATGAATGCGTCCAGGGGAGGGCAACAAAGCTGGTGACAGGGCTGGAAGGAACGTCCTAGGAGGAGAGGCTGAGGACTTTGGCCTTGTCCGGCTTGGAGAGAAGGAGGCTGAGGGGCGACCCCATTGCTCTCTGCAGCTTCCTGAGGAGGGGACGTGGAGAGGGAGGTGCTGAGCTCTTCTCCCTGGGACCCAGTGATAGGACACGTGGGAATGGTTCAAAGCTGCGCCAGGCAAAGTTTAGACTGGACATTAGGATGCATTTCTTTACCGAGAGGGCGGTCAAAGACTGGCACAGGCTTCCTAGAGAGGTGGTCGATGCCCGAGGACTGTCAGTGTTGAATAGGCATTTGGGCGGTACCCTTAACAACAGGCTTTAACTTTTGGTCAGCCCTGAACTGGTCAGGCAGTTGGACTGGGTGGTTGTTGTAGGTCCCTTCCAACTGAAATGGTCTATTCTATTATTCTGTTACAGATTTTTAAAATATAAGGCCAGGCTAGACCTTATTAGGATTCAATATGTCAATTTAGGTAAGGAATTTCATTATATAAACCTCCAGAAGGTTAATATGCTCCGCTTTTTTAATTCTATCCAAAGTAAAACTGTATTATGACCAGCTCTACTTCCCCTTTTTGCATCTTCTCTACGTCAAAAGAATGGTTAGAACAATTCTGTCAAACTCTGGTTTTCTTTTCACCAGCACAAACTCAAGTGACTTTGGAGAAAACATCAGAGCTGTCCTTGGGTCATGGATTAGATTACAGAATCTATTCCACAGTTTTTAACCGGTGAAGAGGAAGTACAGTCAAAACCACATCCCACAAGCACAGAGCCAGGTCCCATGTTAAGGTAAAGCTCAGAGAGAATTAAATAACATCAGGTTTCCTTGCAGAGAGGAAGCTGTAGATAAGGTTGAAGTGCAGTGTATGGAGCCTGCATTGTGCAGTCCATCACAGGCTGCTTTTGCGACTCTATGCTAAAGCATCTAGTTAAACAATAGGAATCTTTGTGAAATGAGTCATTTTTCTAACAGAAATAAATACTCTATGAGCAGTGAGTAAAGGAAAGTGCAATACAAAACCAACCAGAAGCTGCACTTCAGTGTTTTCAAGCTTAAATGGAAGACTAAGACCACTAATCTATATGTGCCAGGTAGTCTGAAGGCTCCCCCAAATCAGTAGTGCTGGACCGAAACAAACTGCTTATTCCACCTCCCTCTAACCACAGGGTGCCCATGTGGAATAGCCTTTAGGTTGGGAAAAGCAGTGAGCATCATTAAAATACCAAATCAGTACTTATCTCTTACCTTAACATGAACTGAAACCTGAGCTGGAGAAATAATACTGAAGCTTTCAAGGTGGTCACAAAAAAGTGCAATGGACATTAAAAAAACTCCAACATATAAATAATACATTTATAAAAGAGGAGACTCCTGGAGTTGGAGTTTAGTCTGCTGTTGAGTGGGAATTTTTCACTAATTAGCCCTTTATGTTCTCTGACTGTAAAGAGCTCTGTCCCGCTAGCTCTCCAAGGGAGCCCAAGCTATCTACCCCTACCATGCCCTGTGTCCCAGGATAAAGAATAAAGAACAAGAAAGATGGAGAAAGACTTTTTACCAGGGCCTGTGGTGACAAGGGACAACAGTTTTAAACTGAAAGAGGGTAGATTTAGATTGGACATAAGGAAGAAACGCTTTACTGTGAGGGTAACTGGAACAGGTTGCCCAGAGAAGTTGTGGGTGCCCCATTGTGGGATATCTGAAGAATCAAGGACACTTAGTGAACAATCCAGACCGAAACCAATTGGCCTTGTGACGCTGGTGAGCAGAAAGCCTCAAGGACACTGTGGGAGCCGCCTGCAGTCAGAAAATGATGAGAACAACCTTGAGAAGAAGAAGAAAAGTTGGTGTACGTGACTGAGATCAGAAAGCAAAGCAGGACGCAGGTGGAGAGGACCGTGCGCGTGGACAAGAGACTTTAACGAATCATACCGTAGCTAAGAGCGCGTGTACAGATAGAGTTAACCAATTAGTTAGGAGCTTGTGCATGACAGGGAAATAGAAGCGCTATATTAACCGGGATGTATCAACAATAAATTGGCATCTGCTTGATCACATTGATCGTGTGCAGTGTCCCTGACTTCCACGTCGACATTTGGCGCCCGAACAAGGACCCTCGGATCGGTGTTGGGACATCCCGACGGAACCGAAGACGA